AGAAATTCTTTGAAGATGCTCTCGACATCATTTGAGGTCACTAATACTTTATCAGTAATATATGCAAAAGTTTAAGTTTAGAAATTATTTTGTTAGTCTTAACTATTTAAAATTTTCAGATTAAAAATCAATAAAAATCTCATTGTTTTAATATTAAATAAACGAAAGCGCGTTCGTATAATAATCGTCTTATTCTCTCCTGTACCATTACGTAACAATAATTATAAAACGTAAGTCCAAAATGTAAACAAAATATTGCTGTTCTCTGAATTATAAATTCTGTAACATTAATTGTAAATAAATGCTTAATAACATTTAGAAGGAAATTAATAATATTTTGTAATTTATAATAATATATTATATGACGGATATCATATTTTATTCATCTTTTTTTTAGTAGTCCTGGCATGGCCAGGTGGTTAGGACGCTCGACTCGCAATCTGAGGGTCGCGGGTCCGAATCCCCGTCCCACGAAACATCCTCGCCATTTCAGATGTGAGGACGTTATAATGTTACGGTCAATCCCACTATTCGTTGGTAAAAGAATAGCCCAAAATTTGGCGGTGGGTAGTGATGACTAGTTGCCTTCCCTCTAGTCTTACACTGCTAAATTAGGGACGGCTAGCGCAGATAGCTCTCGTGAAGCTTTGCGCGAAAGTTAAAACAAACTCTTCTATTAGAGTTACGTTAAACTTACCTTGAAAATTTGCCACCATGCCCATCAGAAGAAAGGCGAGGGCAAGATTCTTGTTACTCATGACGATGTATTCTACTGAGAAATTTTGGCGTGACCTAAGGACTGTTGATCGGTTTTCACTGCTGATCAATATCAAAAGAATTACGAGTGATGCGGGTACCGTTGAGCGCGGGCAACGATGATCTGGTTTGCTGCCGACGTCACTCGGACTCAAGTTTTGTACTAGCAACCACTATCACTTAATGTTAAAACCGATACTGAGCAACATAACACGCTCATGCGCAACGATTTCAAGTTTGGTTGCACTGAACAACATAATATGCTCATGCGCAAAAAATTCAACTTTGGTTGGTGCAAATAAGAAAAGAAATTATATAAATCTCACGAAGTGTTAAAGGCTAAACGAAATACTTTGTTAAAAATTCATTTTTTTAGTGGTTAAATTTGTCAGAAGAAGGCATGGAATGGTGTCAGTTAACAAAAGAGAAACTACCAAGCTGTGAAGTAATTTAATTCTACCGTATTTTAGCACGTGAGTTTAAAAGTGACTGTGTTTCTAAATAATTCACCAACGATAACAGTAAATACACTTTATATATATATATAAAAATAAGTTGACTGAGAATATTTTATACTAATTTTAGGCTTATTAGTTTTCCATTACTTCGCCGTCTTTTGGCGTTTAAACTGTAACTTTCAAATACACTTTGTGCTTTATAATTCTAGCACAGTTATGATATAACAACACTAGTACATAGAACATTAGTAACTAAGAGTTTTCTATTAAAATCTAGTTCCATTAAGCCTAATGGGTTTCAGCTCACTAGCTATTGCTCAGTTCTAAACAAAGTTTTGTCTAGCTGTAAGTTGAAGAATCAATTTCTGTATATGTATTTTTAGCTCAACAAAAGCACCTTCTTATTTTATATAACGTTTTACAGATATTTGATTATTTGAATAATCGTAAAAGCTAAAATTAGAAAGATGAGTATAAAAATAAACTTAGAAAACTTGATAGACATGTGCATAATAATTTGTAGTATATTAGGAACTTCATACACAAATGAACCAAAATTAAAATATATAGAAATAAAGAAATTAAGCATATTTCTGTCGAGATGGAGTTGACAACGTTACAAAGAAGATGGATAAACACGCAAATGAGAAAAGTTATACAATTTTACAAATACATGGATAATAAGCAAATAACTGTAGAAAGTTAGATACGTTCATAAACAGCTGGAGTTACACTCAACTGTAGATAATAAAATATATATTTTTCAGATAAGCGAATTATCATATAAGTGTCAAAAGATAATTTTGTTACTATAATAATAAGCATAATGCGGTATAGAGCAATTTAGATAACTTATTGATTGAGGGATAAGCATGTAAGTGTATAAAACTAGATAAATTTATAGATAGATAACAATATACATTTAACCCTAGAATTACCGATAGGGACGCCATTAGATTTGTAAGTACATTTTCTATTGGATTTTAGGTATAAAAGTAATGATCTTTCCTCAATTGTTCGGTGAGTTCTATACACTGAGTGTTGTGACAGACAAAATTACCCAACATGATGCAGTACGATAATGAATAGTATGTGAAGAAGTCGGTAACATGAGGTCTAAAGAGAAAGTTAGATAACTATGTAAACAGATGGAAAAGCATATAGCTGCAGAGAGAAAGATAATTTTATAGATTGATTCATATAGTTGTAGATAGAACGTGTGATTATCTTATACATCACCGGAATTAATTGTGGAAACGCACAGGTGAAACACATACAAAAGTCTCAAACAACCAAACGGTAAATTTATCATTAGTACAATAAACTATTACAGAAAATACAGAAAATAAACGAATCAATTGTACAATCTACTAGTAATGTTAATATGCTTTAAATAGAGCAGTACACCGTATTTTAATGTCACCATAATTTTATCATTGCATGATTGTGAAATATTGTTCTAAGTTTCTTGTTTTACTTCCGACAATTTAACATAGTTTCCATATAACCTCAAATATCCTTCATTATATTCGTATCATTACATTGTACAGGTCAAACCATGATTTTATGGGTTTTATCATCCCCATTTTTCTACTGTGTCCAACTACACCATTGTTTTGATGCATGCTTGGGATTAATGTCTTGGTGGAAGATGAATCGTTGCCAAACAGTTTTTATTTCTGTTGGAATGACATGATGGATAAAAATGTGCTTGTACCTATCAGCAGTCAGAGTGCTATCAATTTTGTGCATAGCTCCAACATCATTGTCTGAAATGCAACTCGAAATGGTTTCTCGGCATGCTTCATTTTAGATGCTGTACATTGACCACGATACGGTTCTCCTCTCTCATCAAATACACTAAAATATTGACACACAGTTTGAATTTGGATTCACATCTAAAGAGCACCTTCGTATAGTATTGCTCATCCCACTATTTAAAATGTGATGTTCATTTCCGCCTTTTACTTTTGTGTATTTTCTAAGTAGTGGATTTGGAGCAGTTACATATCCATTAGGGTCACAATATGCTAATGTGTACTTTATTATGATAGAGGTAATATTCATACCTGTTTTTACAGCTAGGTCATTGGTAGGATTTCTACAGGACTGTTGTGCATCAAGTATAAAACATGCCCTAAGTTACTTAACATCTGTTTTCACTCAGTCTGTCGAATAGAGCATCCTTCACTAGCCTAAAATCTATTTATTTATTACGTTTGTCATATATTGTTTTTGTTCTGGGAGCTATGAGTGTTTTCACGAGACTACTTCAGAGAAGAAGGTGTGTGCTTATAAATTTATAGCCATTATGCTCGTGCGGCATTTCTGACTGATATCAGCCAATCACAGTGTAAACTATCAGCACGTGATGTCACTCTGGTGCAATTAGTTTATTAAAATTGATGGGGAACAAGCTCGTAATAAAGTGCATTTCACACGCACTTTATACATTCTTTTAGTACTTTTAATACCTTGATGGACTGATATGCATACTTAAGTCTGTTGGAAAGTTAGATAACTCTATAGATATGTGAATAAGCATATAACTATAAAAAGTTAGTCAACTATATCTTAACCGATCAGTGTATGTGTGTGTGTGTGTGTGTGATATCTAATAATTGGCAAATCGCTGGTCCGATTGTCACCAAACCTGGCAGTTTCCCTTATGGTCCTGAAGAAGTGACCAAGAGGGTCAGGATTTGGATATGAACCACCTATGCACCCCACAAGGGGCCATTCTCCGTGCGTTGAACAGGTACTTCAGTTAGTGCGTATACAAATTGATGATCATGTAAGTGTTGAAAGCCAGAATGTTTTATAAAGAGATGGATAAGACTATTTCTGTACAAAGAAACTTAAATTATCTGTATGCTATATAGATAGATAGATATAATTTGATAAACGAATGGTTAGGCCTACACGTTTAATAAGTTTGTTAAATTTAGAAATAGATAAACAAGCATTTAATTGTACGTAGAAAGTTACATATTTTTAAAAGGAATATAGATAAACATATAAGTATAGAAAGCCTGATAATTTTATAGATGTAGACATAAACACGTAACTGCAGATGGATAAGCTTGTTGCTACACATAAAAGTCAGATAATGCTTATATACATGGATAAGCAAATAACTGTGGAATATTAGATATATTATATATATGTATATATATATATAGTATAGTTGTAGAGAGAAGGATAGTTTTATAGATCGATGAAAAACGTATGGCTGTAGAGAGATATTTTAATAAATAGACAAAAAGCATATAAGTCAAGATAGTATGTTAGATGATTAATATAATCAGGTAGATGATTTGATAGAAACAGAATAAGGTAGCCATTTTTAGTTGAATCAGTTTACATACACGCTTTTAAACATTTGTTTCGTTTTCACTGTTTTCAGTGATATTTCTCTTGATAGCAAGATACTGAAATCAGTGCATTCTAAGAAAAACTGGTATATCTAGGAAGTTCTAAATAATAATAATATATTTACAAACTGTTAAAAAAGGATACAACCAGGAGATCTAAGAAAGAATGGTATATCCAGGAAGCTCTTGGCTATTACCGGCCCGGCATGGCCAGTTGGTTAGGGCGTTCGACTCGCAATCTGAGGGTCGCAGGTTCGAATCCCCGTCCCACCAAACATGCTCGACGATTCAGCCGTGTGGGCGTTATAATGTCACGGTCAGTCCCACTATTCGTTGGTAAAAGAGTAGCCCAAGAGTTGTCGGTGGGTGGTGATGACTAGCTGCCTTCCCTCTAGTCTTACACTGCTAAATTAGGGACGGCTAGCGCAGATAGCCCTCGTGTAGCTGTGTGCGAAATTCAAAACAAACTAAACCAAACTAGGTTATTATAAAAACGGTTATGATAAATAATTTAATATTTAAATCTATTGTTAACCACTGTCTTAAAGCTAACTATTAAATACCTATCAAAACACAGACTTAAGATTCAAGGCTGTATTGTAAATCAACGACTCATGTATTAGTAAATCCAGTGTTTAAAATAAATAAAAGGTAGAACGTGGCTTAGACTGTAAATCCAAGGGTTCATGGTTCACGACCTGTTATCGTAAGAATGCACTCCGTACTTCTGGGCCATCGGTGTGGTATAAGAGTGACGTTCAAATCCCAGTATTCAATCAGATATGAGTTGCCTAAAAATTTGCAGAGTGTCTTTTTACTAACTGCTTCTCCTCAGTTCAAAATTAAGGATGGCTATGTGCAGATAGCCATTGTGTAGGTTTGGGCAAAATTTTGAAATAAACGGATACATGTTTAAGGAGGGGGAAGAAAATGAATTGTGTTTTTTTCATATCTTTATACCAGTAATTCAGGAAGATTTGTAACTCAAAACCGTGGTGGGAAGAGCATAGATAGCTAATTTTGTAGCTTTGTGCTTAACAACAAACAAGATTTAGATCCTAAATATTTCAGTTGAGTTTTCAAATTAACATTTTTTAACCATATTCTATAGTAAAAGAAAAAGATTTAACAGCAAAGTTTTATGTAACCATGATAGAAGTTGCATTCTTTTCCAGATTCAGAGAAAAGCATTTATTCATTTTGCAAAATATCGCAGTAAAAGGTTTAAAAAGTTGAATATTTTGGCAAAAAGTAGTAAGTTTAAGCTGAAACCAAATACAGGAATTGAAAAGTTTTTTTTTTATGAGAATGTTGTCTTAAAACACTGCTGATTTGAAAGAGGAAATA